TCTCCTCAGGGCTGCTCTCGATCACCCCATCCCATAGTCCATATTGATACCAGGGCTTGCCCTGCCTCATGTGCCGTAGCAAATATCTGTAGGAAATAAAGACTTGCTGATACAAAGCAAAAAAAGCAGAAATTCCAGAAAAGAAAGCAAAAGGTGCTCCTGCCCATGGCAGGGGGGGTGGAGATAGATGATCTTTAAGGTCACCACCGGGGTTGGAACTAGATGATCTTTAAGGTCCCAACAACCCAAACCATTCCATGATTCTATGATTTTTATTTCCCCACTTACCCCAGGAGGCTGGTCCCTGGTGAACATTCCCCAGGTCTGCCAGTTCATATCGCGCCGAAACATGCTGTGCTCAGTTTCACCAAATCCGTACAAATACTGGGATGCCAACCGGGTAGAAATCTGAATGAACATGTCGCTGAATGTGAAGGTTGGCAGCTGAGAATCCCAGCTGAAATGGAGGAAAAGGGAATAAAACATGGGAAACTCAGTGCTGGGTGTAGCTGGCGGCCACCCTTCCACGACCAACTCTTTCTCCCCCAGAAACCTCATTCACAAAAACTGGAATAAAACTGTTATGGTTTTCAAGAAAACTTAAACCACATTAGATTTTTTTAGGATTTAATGTTTTGTGGGTTTTAGAGTTTAATGGGTTCGGTGAGAGGTTTTCCACGTTATGCTGAAACAGTAGGTGTAAATCACCTTTTTTCTAACGTTTTCTGCTTTAGAAATGAAATGTTTGAAACTGAGCCACAACCTGACCATGTTCTTCCAATGGCTGCTGTAGAGGTGGGAGGCTGAAGCATGGAATGAATAATTTACTCTGGTTGGCAAAAAGGAGCTCAGCGTGCAGTTAAATTTTGATTACTTTAAAGAATGACAAAAAAACAATAATTGAAACCAAAAGAGTAATGCTGAAAAAATGTGCAAACAGATGCACACAAACACTCCCTTAGCAGTGCTAAGGGAAATATTAGGAAGTCTAGAAAATTGTTGTGCCTCTCAGATTCTTCAGAAGGGCAGAAAAACCAGTTCTTGGCAGCGTCAGGCCTTGTACTTGTTCAGGTCAGCTCCTCCAGCCTTTCTCGGGGTTAATAGTCACATTCCGAACACAGAGGTCAAGCTGGAGTGGAGTTCAGTATCTGGGAGATGGGGTTATTTTATGGGATGGACAGTAAAACTTGTCTCGTGGTGTTCGGAACGGAGTGGGCAATCGAATGTTTTGGTAGGAAAAGACGAAGAGGGGAAAGAAGAGACCTAAGAAAAGGGGAGGGTCAGAAATAGTGAAATGAAAAATGAAAATAAAAATATTAAATATAAAAATAGAAGAAAATGTTAATTAACAGATTAAAATGAAAAATTAAATGAAAAATATTAAATTAGTGAAATGAAACGAAAAACCAAAATTAAACAAGCGCGGCTTACATCACTGTCCCCGTGTTTCTGCGCCGAACCTGGATGCCAAATGGTTTGTTCTGAACCACTACGTCATAAAGTCGATCCTCCACTGTGCTCTCGGGGGACTTGGGGAGATTCAGGGGTACCGGCACCTCGTATCTTTTATTTGCATAATCATAAATCTACGCAGGGAAAAATAATTCTCTTCAGTGTGCACGGAATACGCGTAAATCAGCAAGCTAAACTTTCAAGAATTCTAGTAAAAATAGTGAAAGCACTTTTTTGTATTCCAATCGACTGATGGAAATCAGTCTACGGCGTGGAAGCCTCGAGCTGGGGACAGGGAATCGTTCAGTTCTTTCTTACCCATAATGACAGGAAATGTGAATTACCCAAAATGTTTCAGTAAATTTCCTGAGATAAGCGCTTTCCTTCACAAATTCTCTCTCAGATTCCTTCACCGTCTTTGGGTCAAGGAAATAAAGAACTTTAAGGTCTTATTTTGGACCAGGAAGGAGTCATTTAATTATTTAAATGTATTGATTTAAGTGTATTTTTATGTATGGTAAATGGATTTCACCTTTTGGGTTTAATTTTTAGCAGCTTTAAGAGCTTTTTCTTCAGGTTTTCTGCATCATGTAAGTTGGTGCCTCTTGACTCAAGACTAAGAGAAATAAAAGCTCTTTAGCTAAAAGGAGAACTTGCCGTAGATGCCAGAGCATTTTCCAACTAACACAAAACTGACTAATCCCAGAAATAACACTATTTTGACCAGTGGAACAACCCAAACTCAGAGAAATTCTGCCTCACCTTAAACTGCAGCATGTGGTTGGTGTGATATTTCACCTCGAGGCGAAGGGTACCAATGGGCAACATTGAGTCCTCGTAGGCTTTGAGGTTCTTCTTGCCGAAGGTGAGATTGGCCGTCACGCCCCACGACGCGTATTTTACGTCCGCCACAGAATAAGCGTTGTCAGGGGCACCGTAGTAGCAGTACGGAACCGCTAAATCAGAGGGATCTTCCTGCAGGTGAAAACATGAAGAGGGAATTACGCGATTGCTGATTTTTTTATTGTTTTTAATTTAACAAGAATTCCCAAACTGTTGGTTTTAGCAGATAACTAATTAATGTAGAATTTTGACCAAAGCTTCACGCCGTTGTTAAACACTAAGGAAGCAGAACTGAACCCCCTGGTCTCTGTAGTATTTTAAACATAATTAATGAGCTCAGGAGCGTTCCATCCTGCCCGTATCCTTATGGGGTGACGATGATTCAATACCCTCTCTCCCCGTGACCTTCAACTCACCCCCATGGAAAAAGACCTGGGAGACTCTATGATCTCTGGCCATTTTGGGTGCCTTCAAGAGGATGTGCCCAAAATCCGTTAGCGATGTCAGATGAGAGCACTCCCTCAGCTTTCACCTTCGCTCACACGGACTACCTTTAGAATTCCCGTTGGGAATTTGTTCTATCGAATATCTCCTGCTGGAAAGGTCAAAGTAACTTCCCATTTCTGGTGCAGTTGCATAGAAACACAGAATAATTTATTCTGGTTCGATGTGCTGATGCTGACTAACGTTATCTTTCCACCTCTGAATACTTGCAGTTTTTCCTGTCTGCTCGAAAAATCAACCCATGCCCGCTCAGCTCATCTTTATTCCTGATTAATATGTTTTCATCTTTCGTCACCAAATCCAAAGCCTCTTCTGAACTTTAGAAATACTTTAAAATCTACCCAGCTCATAACACGGCCAGAATGTGCTTCCACGTGCGGAGCCACTTCCAAATATCTTAAATGGAACTTTGGGGTCCCTTCCCACCCAAACCATTCTGTGATTCTATGAAGTCACGAAGATCCCTCTAATCACATGACAGAATTAGGGACGTTTATCAACCGTTTCGAGTTGTGGCTACCAGGGCTTCACCATGAGAAGCCACGCCCGAGGTTCAAAATGAAGATTTTGGGAATGATGGACTAACGCCCTTGGGAGCAGGACTGGAAAGAGGATTCCCATCAGGGCACGTATGTACAGCCGTGTGATAGGCAGAAATAAAACATCCAGTAAAAAGTTTCAGTAGCAGGAATCATGATTCGGGTGTCTGGCGGGGACTCGGCCACTCAGATTCACGGAGGGACAAAAATTTCCCTGAGGTTCAACGATTCCTTCTCCTCTCTTCCAGAGGAATCGTTTTTATTCAAATTCACATCTTTCTTCATTATTTACTTAAATTATTTATTTTTTCAACGCATGTAAGCTTAAGATAAAGCAAAAAGGCACCCCAAAAATAAAAAAAAAAAAGCAGCCTTGTTGCTCCCAGCTGCAGTGGCCGAGAGTTGTACGTCGACGCTGATCTCAGGTCTATTCTAATTTCATAACCTTAATGCTGTTTGTCCCCCTCTTCCAAAAAATACCAGCTTTTCCCCCTATTTTTCACATACTTCAGGAGGCTAGAAGGTGTTGAAAATTATGCTCATTTCAATCAACCACTTCTTTTTTTAAGTCTTCAGACAGAGGGACGAATGAAACCATTTCTTTGGTCGTATTAAAATACAAAAATAAAGTCACTGTTCTTAGCATGTTTTTCCCCAGTTTTTCACAGGTTTGCACTTACAGCCCAGACACAGCCCAGCTCTTCGCATTTTTCCTTGGATGCGTCTGGACTGGGATGACAATCATATTTTTCGTTGACGCTGGTTCCTAGAGTCCACCTTAATGCGTACGACTGTCCCAGTTTGAGCTGGAGTCCTCGTATGAGCGCGACCTGCAAACAATAAACGTCAGGAAATTCCACCTCCCACCAGTGTTTCTTCAGAGCCTTAAAAACAAGAAACTGCCTGAAACAAAACTTAACACCTGTCCGGAAACACCCTTAATTTTTATGGATTCACACGCCTGAAATGCCTGCGCAGAAGAGCCGAAAATCCCGCGCATCCCACAGGAGCGTGCCGGGGGCAAAGATACGCACGCCTGGCTCTTTCGCCTTCTAAAATCAAAGTGAAATGGTTAAAAAAATGTAAATATTCTTTCCCCTCAACTAAGATCCTAAAGCTGTCCCTCCTCTCACAAGCGGAATCCGCCGGCGTAAACTAATGCACAGGTAGGATTTGTGTCACGTGCTCTCTCTAACATAATTAACGTTATGGCTAACATCATAATTTTACTAAAAAGTACATTTTTTGCCATAATAATGACATTATGTTAATGGTAATAGTGATGGTAATGATGATGATGGTGATGGTGATGATGATGATAATGATGGTGGTGATTATGATAATAATAATAATAATGCTGTTATTATTGTGGTAAATAATGTACTTTTTAGTAAACTACACCGCATATACAGCGGCATTACCATGGTACTGAATACTCTCCTCAGAATATAAAATACAGGCAGCGCAACAGGGATTTTTCATTCCAGTTTTCCCGTTATTGTTTACCTTATCCACAGGATTGTAGGTGATATTATGAGAAGAATTTTGCACAACGTTGTTCTGCAACACAGTAACGGATACAATTTCCTGGAGCAACCCCAATATCTTGATTTCTTCAAACGTCAGGTTGTTTGGATCGGCGTAGTTGTTGTTTGTGACATTCATTTGCAGAACGTTCTGAGGAGTAATGAGATATTTCATGGAGTTGCCGAAATTTCTCCTCATTTACATTAGCAACGATATTTTTTTTCCCTCTTACTTATATATATAACTTTGTTATTTAAATTATATATGTTCCTGTATTATATGAAGAAAACACGTTCGGTTTTCTTGACACAGAAAAGCCATAAAAAATATACTCTATAGAATATAATTCTATTTCATATATAAATAACTCTCCCGCTGTGCCAAGGCTGTCAGACCCACCGATATAAAGCTTCTGTACTACCACAAAAACTATGATCACGCTCTGGGTTCTGAGGTTTTCCCACTGTCAACTTTCACCTACATTCTTTTTTTCCCATATACCAAGGTTTTTGTCAATTTTTCAAACTTCTGAGACTCACAAACAATCTATTCATCTCTCTTCTTATCCCCAGAGCCACTGATGCTTCGGAGGTTTTTCTGCTTGATCAAGTGTTATAAACTCTATGAACATTGTTGTTGTTCTATAAAGTAGCAGGAAATGGGGAATCTTCAGGTATGAAAAATAATTAGGCAAATAAAGGACAAATATCAGATATACACCTTGGTCAAGTGACAAGCCCTTGAAATGGCACCTCTTAGGCTTTGTCAAATACTTCATTTTTTAATATGTTTTGGGAAAATAGGGAGAGAAAACAGGAATATCCACAGAAAGTATTATTGATTAATTATGGAAATTAAAATTAGAACCTTTGAAGAATATATACTCACGTGGGAAACTTTGAAGTCATAGTAAATGTAGGTTTTGTTGTTAATGGTGCCTGAAATGGGGAGAAAGACATTACGTTGCAATACGGAATGAGACAGTATTAGAGAAGGAAAGCTGGAAGCCCAGAAAAAATGCTGATGACGATTGTTGTTATTATTATTCTTGTTACCTTCAAAAGTGACCCCACTGAAAACTGCAACGACCCATGAAATCCTAACCAGTTTTTGAAGAGGGAAAACCGAGCGTTGACAATTAACATTCCGTCGCATCAAATCTTTTGTCAAATTGATCCAGGGTGTCAACATCTCTAATTTTTCCTCAAATCCTGAATATACTGCGGGAGTCTTTCTCAAGTTCTGAATTTCTGTACTGAATCACAGTGTTCTGTGCCCTGGGGTGCCAGTAACGCCCCAAACTGCACGTTTCGGCCCCATTCTTTATGAATATTTCTTTTTCTCCTATTGTTCCAGCCCTTGGGAAACTACTTTTCATTACTTCTGATAACATTTCCTAGATTTCCATTGTAATTCAGTATTATTTTCCTGATTATTTTTCTTAGATGAAGGTGTAGAAGATCCACATAAATCAGTATAAATTAATGGCAGAAAGTGTCAATTTAGCACATACTTTTAATATATTTTGGTAATTTGACTTGGTCTCTAAAGTCAAGGAACTTCTCCCAGATTCTAATCTACATTTCAGAATAGCTTCAATATTTTTATCATTAAAAAAAAAAAAAACCATGAGTTTCCCATTTACAGCAGCTTACAGAAATAATCGGATGTGAATTCAAGACCAGGCCTGCCTGAAGCACAGTAACACTGACAAAAATGTGTCATAAAACAAAGCCCTTTGCTCTTACTGTTACAGCTGGTTGGCAATAAAGCAATTAAGTCTGTCAAATAAAAGTAATAATTAATATCATCCTGTCAAAATAGAGTAACAAAACAGCAATAATGGAGCCGCCATCATAAAAAATCACGCACCTGCAGTACGAGCTCGAGGGCTTTGTCAAGTGTCTTCTCAAAACTAATTTCCAAATAAATGTCTAAACTACTTTCTGCCCTTTTCTAGAAAACGTGTACCGAAGGACAAAGGCTGAAAAAACACCCGAAGGATTTACGCCTCCAAAGTTGCTTAAATCACATGAAAACTGCTGACACCTCCTTAGAACATGCAGGGCTCTCCGTTTTTTAAAAACACCTTCACCTCAAGACTGGAATTCAAAGCTCACAGTGGTTTTGTTGGGAAGGGTCTTCCTTTTCCAGGGAATCACCTCTGCTTTTCTCAGGCAATAAGAAAAAAATCATTTAACCCGAAATTCGATTTTTTTACTTCGTTGAATTAAGTTGTGACCTTAGAATTATACTCAACTTCTTTTCTAACAAAGAACTTTGTTTGATATTTATGTCATCGTGAGGGGTCGCAGGGCTTTGGCCCGATCGTTATATCGGAGAGAGAGGTTTCCAAGCCGCTGTTATCCAGGAATGAGGTGGGAAACAGAACGCGAGTAGCCTGGTCCACTCAAATTCCTGCATACGCCACGGGAACCTGAACAGATTTTGGGTGTCATACCGCCCCAATTGAGTTAACATCCCTGCTGATGGTTTGGATTTCAAATTTCACTGATTCCAAACGGTTCAGGAGCCATACGAGCGTTTCACCCTTGAGCGAAACATGGGTAATGTGACGCTGAGGTACGTTCGGGCGCGTATCAGAACTTGTGTCGATCGGGGCAGCATGGTGTAAGAGCGGGCGCTCTGCCGCACCAAAACTTCACATGCGTAAGACTTGCAAAATCCAAACAAGCCCAGAAAAATCCAAAGAATTAAGAAGAATTGCGGTTTTTCACCTCATGGTGGAAAAGTAGTAAATATGCAAAGTCGTTGCATGTTTAAATATGCTTTTAAATTACATTATTTTAAGATTTTAATTCTTTTTAAATGTTTAAATTTTTTTTAATTAAATTTTCTCCTCCCCCCACGGCATTGGTTAGGTGGTTACAACCCGTGCGTAGTCCCATTTCGGTTGTCACAGTTACTTCCCTCCAACAGCCAATAAAGGCTCACCTGTCGATTCTCCATCATCCCAAAATAACTCCCCAGCCGCTTCGTTATTGTCATCCAGCGCAACGATCAGTCCCATGGGATTCCTGCGGCTGGGGAAGAGACCCAAGGGACAATTTCATAAGTATAATCCCCCCACCTTGTTTGTGTTCCTATTACGAGGACAGCGCTGAGTGTTCAAGAGCATTGGGCATTGTCTTGCATTAGTCCCCGCCCACCTCAGTTTTCCATCTCCAATGATTTTCATCCATCAGAATAAAATCCATGGTGAGATTAGAAAACGCTATGCAAAATCAGGTTAAAAAAACACCGGCGCTGGCTGCTCATGAAACGTGTTCAATGATTGGCTGTGGCAGTGAATGGTGACTGACAGTTAGCCCGAAATTTTCAAGTGTAAATGTTAAATATTACTAAATAATGCTACTGCGAAAGACGCTGTTTCAAATACTACTGCTGCTATTCTGCGCGATAACACTAATAATACTACTAATAATTAAAATAATTATAATTACTGAAAACGGAAATCATTATAACTACGGTCCTAATAATTGCATATATTACAATTATAATGCTACTTTTTTTCTGCAACCCAGGGTCCACTCTTGAAATCCCATTTCGTACCAGTGGAACGCGGAAAGCATTCGCTCTGGAGATTTACCTCATCGCTGTTGTGGTGGCCGCCCGCTGGAAAGGGAAGACGTAGCCTCCTCTCAAGTGAAGCCCCATCTTGTCTGCGGGAAGGTACAGATCCGCCCACTGTTTCCTCAGCCAGATTTTCGCACCCTAATTAACGGGGAGGAGCGGGGAGGAGGCGGTTAACGTGGCTCGCCGCTGCCTTAGACCGAGTTTTGTCTTACTTCTTCCTTTTCCCTTAGTTCTTCCTTTTCAGTCAAAGGTTTCGGCTATTCGAGTGTCCGTACTGCTGCCGACGGCCGCGACACTCAGCCCGGAATGGCCTAACACTACGAGTCAGCAACTCCCATCGCTTCGTTATCTCGCCTTTTTTAATCAGATTACTTATTTAAGAATCGACCCAGAGCGAGCAAGTCCCGCTAGGATGTCTGAAGCCAACCGTGTCCCTTTTCTCCAATAAAACCACCACAGTAGGAAATTTTATCCCAGAAATGAGGATGGCGAGAGCTAATGGCAACCCCCTCCGCGCGTCGTCAGTACTATTACGTTTGCTCACGTGTATATACACGTGCCCTTGGCTTAAGGTTTCCTTCAGCCGGCTGCTCCTAAATCCCAACCCCCCGCCTCGATGTGACCTTCTCACGTGGCCATTTGGACACCTCCATCCACCCCATCATCCTGCTGACTTACCGAGTCGTAATCGTACCAGACGGCGTCGGGGATGTACGCTTGGATCACGGACACCCCCTGGATGGGGAACACAGAAATTACCCTCCAATTCCCGCCGGCGTTAATCCAGCATGGTGTATGGACCTAGGGTGGCTGCCGGGTGCTCACCCAGCTGCTCTATTCACACCCCCTCCTCAACTGAGAAAAATGAGCCAAAATTCATCATAAAGTTCCAAAAACTTTCATGAATCAAAAAGAATTCATCATAAAGTTGACAACAAGAAAACTATCAATGTTTCTCCTCATTTTTGTTTTGTTTTGTTTTCCTTCATGCTTTTCTATGACAAGGCCCAAAAAGGAAGGTAATGATGCAGTATAATTCCAGCAAAGCTGTAACACAGAAACCGACCGTTTGCAACCCAAAATTCCAGCGCCGCAAACACGCCGACTCTGAGGGTATTCGCAAGCATCGTTAGATCTCCTTCTTTTACTTTTTTCTACATTGGCTTGTTTTGGCCACCTTTAACAAATGCTTTGTTCTCTTAAACAGTGCATGAGGTAGAGCGATTCGGGAATGTTGTCCATGAGATTTGGCAGCGGGAAAAACAACAATCCATAGTTTTTGTCTTGACGGATCACGGGTAAAGTGAAAACAGGGGAAAACTAAGAAGCTGACTGAAAGAATGTAGAGATGATGCAAAGAGGAGGGGAAGCCGAATTTTTCAATGGAAGAATCAGATTCCCTAAAGGACAGGAAAACATGAACAATAGCACATGATAAAAATAATGGTGCAAAAGGCAAGATTTTTCCATTTAGACGGTGATACGAGGATGTGGTGGGCTCTCTCATTGAGCAGCAGATGAGGAACAGCAGACAAACAAAAAGCTTAGGTTTATGAGGAGTCCAAAGAAAACATCTAATTAATATGCCAAACATGTAAATTGAAAGAGAAAATGGAATTTAAGGAGGAAATTTAATTTGGGGGGAGAAATCAATTTAAGGAGAAAATTAGTTGAGAAAACGGTATTTAACGTGCGTGAAGGAAGGGTATAATCAAGGTCTGCAGTAACCCACAGGAGCTGTACCAAAGCTCATAAACCAGGGCCTCTTGGGGAATATTCCTCCCAGTTCTCCCCAAGGCAATTCTGCCTAAAACAGGACAGGAGCAAATTTATTAGGTTCCTCGGGGAAATGGAAGACCCTGTTTTCTTTTCTTCTCTCCAGTTCCAAAAATGGAGACGGAGCATGATTTCAGGGGAAAACACAGATGCCCTGATTAGCGTAACTCTGACTTTTCAGCTAAATAACAATCTCTCCCAAAACTGAATAAGTAGAAAATCCAAAGGCAGTCTCAAATTGAGGGAATGAGGGGAATCCTTTTTTTCCTGCAATCTCCTGTAGAAAAGGTGTTGCTGCTGACAAGGTGCCCCCGGGAATTCATCGAGACAGTGAGACCTACCGGGTCAAGCACTGGGGTGATGAGGAGCCCAGGGCCCCACAGGAACTGCTTATCCACACTCCACGTCGCTTCATCAGAATAAAACCTAAACAAACAGGAAATCAACAGCATTAACTGCAGTTACTAATTAACAGCATATTCATTAGTATTATCATGAGCAACCCTAAAGCTTCAAGACCCCAGTTGTCTCGAATCACCCTTGGAAATGTCATACGGTGATGCCCCAAGCCGATTTTTGGCAGAGGCAATCTGAGGTTAAGGAATAAATTGCACAGGTTATTAATTTTGCATGTATTAATTATGCATAGGCACAAGTGTGTCTGGGGGGCACCTGGCCTTAATATGGTTCTGTTCAAGAGTTTCAAGGAAATAAAGGTGAGAAAGTCAAAATTTTGAATTATAGATCCTGACAGAGAATAATTTCATCAGCTGCCAATGGGATTTTGTAACCCATTAGTGGTGGGCAGCATCCTTCACCAACGTCGGGTGGGTTTAGCCAATCCCCAGAGGAGTTTCAGCTGATTATTTTGTTCTTGTGTTGTGAGGGTCAACTTACTCGTGGAGAAGCGGCCGCGCGACCGTGTCTCCTTGGGTGTGAGCTTTGTAAAAGAGCGTGTAGAGGTAGGGCAGCAGCGTATAGCGGATGGTCAGGTAGTGCTTGGAGGATTTCACCAACACTGAGTCGGCTCCAAAGGCGGCGGGATCCTGGGGCTGAAAACAATTAATGCATCACCATTATTATTGTTGCACAGAGCCCTCAGGATGCGACGGATGGCTGCAGCTGAAAATCGGGTGGGTAGGTCAGAGAGCAGCAAGCGCTCAATCCCCATTGAGGACACCGCCAATGGGGACCAGATTTGGTATCAGATGGTGATTTCAGCAAAAGAAACGATGCCAAACGCGTGCTCCAGGGTCTACAATTAACCCCTGCAAAGCTACACTACCCGGAGCAAGGATTTCCCAAAACATAAGGTTGTACCAGTTTCGAACCAGTCGACTATTCCATCATCAGTGACAGAAATAATCACAGATTAACTAAATTATTAGAATAGAAATGCAAAGCTGTACCGCCAAAAGACTTTTCGTAGCAGAATGTACCACTGACCACGCATTTTTCGGTATTGTGATTCCTGGAAAAAGGGTAAAAAGCTCCCACTTGCATCCACCGTCTGCAAAGCTCTTCGGTGACGTCTTCGAAGAAACCGCAAATATCTGCTCCCACCTTAAAATTCAAACAGAGTGCATCGCTCGTAGGGCGCACTGCGCCGCAGATCTCCAACAAAAACCTTCAACGCTGAGGCGCAGAGAATTTTTTGTCAGTTCACCCCTACTTGTGAAGGAGGATAACGGGGTCATTTCCACAGAAAGTCTTCCAAAACTCTCATCCCTACCCAGATTTTCCCTTTGTATTTCCCTCTGGTCCAGCCACAGAATTTCTGATGTCTCTAAGGTGGCTTTTTTGTGGCAGAAGTAGCCAAGGAAATGAGGATTTTTCGGTAACCTCACAGTCCTGCGATCAATGTTACAGCCTCATCCACTGATGAATGACAAAAGTAGAGGCACCAGGGGACTGGAAAGGTATAAAATTAAGGATTTGAGAGCCATACACCTACAGACTCAATAAGCAACAGAGGGAAATGGCCTAAAGGTAAGATTAATTATTCTCAGGAAAAATACATTTAAACGGGACTCCTACCGGGACTAATTTCTAGGGGGATTAAAATTTATTCTAGGGGATTAATTTATTGTATTATATGGTTAATTTATCGTATTTAATTTATATTCATTTCTACAATTTATCCCTATAGTCATTTATAATATTTTTCTATATCTTTATATCTAATCATGATAATATACGTATTGATCTAATTTTTTTCATTTAATTCCAATAGGTCTGTAGATACCGGGACGTGCAGATATCACGGACACACATTTGTTTTGCACAAGTACCATAAATAATTGATTTCATACATAAGGGATTCCAAAGAGACCAAATTCCAGCATTCCAGGTATCGCCCACTTTATGTGATCCCACGTGGCTGCATTATCTCCCAGCCAGTGTCCGGCATACTTTCCCGATCCCGCAAAAGTAGACCTTGAGAGAAGGAAGCTTCGTTTTCCAGGGAACAAAGTTTCAATGGCTCTGAAATTAAAAAATGTTGGAATTAGGGGGAAAACAAAAAAAAGAACAAGCCACCGTAAAGATGAGCTGATTTGTAATAAGGAAACATTCCACCCATTTCAATTTGTTCATTTACAGCGATATACAAGCCGAGGACACCGACTGCCTTAAGTTTAACTGTTTGTCTATTAACCCAATTAATAACATACAGATTCACCTTAACGAACCTTTCTGTCCGTTTTTGCCCACCAACCTTTGCCACATTTGAATTCCAAACAATAACACTCAGGTTTTCTTTCATCTTCCGCTGCTCAGAGCAGCCTCACTGAAACCCAACACTAGGAATTTTGAATTTTGATTCAGAATTCAAATTTTAAAAAAAATAATGTGGTTCAGCTCATTGCAAGAAGAGCTGCCATTCACAATAATCCCCGGATCAGGTTTCCTGGGGAATTAAATCCCAAACAGAGGATTTCAGTCCTAACTACAGGCTCTACTCTGCCCCTTTTTCACAAAGATATGAAGAAAGATTCCTCACTTTTGGGTTGAGAGGATCATGGAGTACCCAAAAAGGCTGTGGACGTCATATTGTCGCCCCCACTTCTGCACTGCGTCCATACAGAGCGTCTTGGAAAACAGGAGTCTGTCAACGATATCTGCAGGGAAAACGTTCGGAAATGCACGTAAATCATTTAATGAAAGTAGGTTTGGAAAGATTAAATTTAATCAGCTCCACCAAGGGGAAAAAAGCAGTATTTCTATTCTTTTCCTCATGCACATTCATGAAGTTTTGGCCCGTTGCTGGGTTTGGTGTAGGCATTAACCCCAGTACCCCCCAGCTCGCCTGTGTCGTACAGCGTTGTGAGGGGTTTCCAGGTTTCTTCATCTTTGCTTTAACACAGAACATGCCTTCAAAAATTCCCACATCTCACATCAGTCCAGAGAAACGGCAAAATAGTTCCCCGGCTGCTGCCAAAACGCGCAAACGCAGATTTTCTAAGGGGGCGGGATTCAGCAACATAGTGCTACTTCCGTTTTTCCATTTACTCAGCTTAAATCCAGCTTCGAGGTAGATTTCACGCGCAGGGAGGGACTCACCTGAATACTACACCCCGAATTTCTGAATTTGACCTGACTGCGCACCGGCAGTGATGGAATTTCTGACTTGATAAGCGTTTAAATTCCACCTCAGCACTGCCTACACCTCTAAAACTACCGGCGTTCCAACAAGATGAGCCCCGCTCTCATCCCCAATTACGGCAACAGCAACACCCAGTGATGGTTTGGAAAGCAGTGAAATCAGATGATTCACAAAAATACCATATTTGGGGTTTTTTTTTTGCCCCCCGGCTAAAGACAACGGACTTACGGGGTGTGAAGGGAGGATAGTTTAAGTCGTTCTGCTCGCAGCCGTTAGTTGAGCCTGGAACAAAGTTGGCTACTTCATTCATATCCTGAAAAACCACAAATTTGAATTTCAAATGGTGGCCGTAACATTCCTTGGGCTTTCAGCCAAATACACTGTTACAAACCCGCTTGCAGCAACTGTCTTGAGAGCACCAGGAACACAGAAGGAATCATATTCCCAAGCCGCTGAACTCCCCGTCCAGCATCCAGGATGTTGAGTTAGAAAATAATCAAAGGAAATGAAAAAAAAACCCTTTCTGAAAGTCAAAAATGTGATTTAAGCAGCAGTGGTGGTGCTTTTCCCAAACTGGGGAAAATAAGTGCCATAATTCCTCCCAAATCCTGCGTTATAAAAAACAAAGGTTATTTTGTTCTGGCCTGGGAAAGATGAATTTACCAAGTTAAAACATAAAATCCTACGGAGTGTTTGTCTTTGCTCCAGAGGGAAAATCACTTCTCCCAAAAGGTCCCATTTATTAAAAATAAAAGTCAGTGTCGTGGTTACGATCCTGGTCACAGCGAGTTCTGGGGTAAATTAAATCACATTTCTCCAAGGCAACAGGTACGTGCGTCTTTCGGTAGGTGCGTTTCACGTAATTTCTAACAAAATCTCTCCAACGCCAGAAAAAACGAGGTTTTCCACAGAAAATGGAATGCTACAGAAAACGTCCAAACCCCACCTGGCTTTCGGGTTATTCTCGATAAATCGCCCCTCGACTCAGTGCAGATCGACTGAGGTGCCATCGGCCTATTTCTTGCAAAAGGTGAGAATTTCAGATTTTACTCACGATCCAGATCCCGTCATAGGGCACTTGGTTATAGAATATTTTGCATTCCTCCACCCACCAGCTGGTGCAGTCCTCACTGGTGAAGTCTGGGAAAACGGTTCTTCCTGGCCACACCTCCAATTAAAACAGGGAGATAACGAGGTTACACCGTTGATGACCTCGCAGGAAGGGTCGGATTTCCCTCAGATTTATGGGAATCGCTCTCTCGGAGCAAGAGTTGGGTATAAAACCTCAGGATTATTCGTTCTGCAAGACCACGTTGATAGAACAAGCGGGAGAAGGTTTTTGAGCTACAAATTGCAACAGTGAATTATCATTATTAATGAATTATACTTATTAATTTATATAGATTATCCTCAATACTTTATATTGACTGTATTAGTATTACATTTATGCTCTGGAAAGTTTATCAGTATTAACCTACCTTCTTATTTTACATTAATTATCTTCATTACTCTATATTCAATATATTGCTATTAAATTTAAGCCCAGGAAGGTTTGTCAGTATTAATTAACCTTCTTATTTTATATTAATTATCCTCATTACTCTACATTCAATATATTGCTATTAAATTTAAGCCCAGGAAGGTTTGTCAGTATTAATTAACCTTCTTATTTTATATTAATTATCCTCATTACTCTACATTCAATATATTGCTATTAAATTTACTCTCTGGAAGGAGGCAGAAAGTGGTTCTTTCTGAGTTCTAAACTCCAAAGGCGCTTTTAAAGCCAAAACTCCTCCCAAGTCCTGCGAGTTTCACCAGCAGCAGCCGCGTCTGTAAACCCATTTCAAAGCGATTTTCAGAGCAGCAAAGGGGGAACCACCCTCTGAAAACTGTTGGAAATAAACAGGCACTGGCTGCCCGTGTCTCCAACCCTCCAAAATCTCCCACTTTTCCTTCTGAAAAATCAAAATGTAAAAAAAAATATTCAAAAAAAACCCAGGAATTATGCAATGTTGAGAATTATGGAAAAATGGAAGATTATCCCTGTCCAAACCACCTGGGGTTTGGGCTCCAGCGTGCTAAGGGTGGTGTTACCTCGCCAACTAACGGTGTTACTCCGTCCGACTCGTTGACCCAAACTTTCTTGCTTTGTCCCCTCTCGTAGGCTGGGTAGGGAGAACCGTCAGCGAGAGCCTCCGTGCCGATGGCAGCGTCCTAAGAAAGCAGGAAGGTGGAAAACCGCGCAGGGCACAACGGTTCTCCGCGCTGGTTGCGCGGAGCCCAGCAACTGCAGACGGTGGAGTCGCATGGGGCATCATCCTCATCACCAATATTATCGTTATAGCAGGAATAATGATGAGAATAATATATTCTACACAGTATGACATGTGACATGCGATATATGGTGCATCGTATGTGATACATGATGTATCGTGTGTCGTGTATCATATGGTTTTATACATGTGTTTGTTTAGTAGGTATTATTTATTTATTTTTATCTCTACAGGACGGTTCTCCGCGCTGGTCGTGTAGAGCCCAGCAGCTGCACACGGTGGCGTCCCATGTAACGACGTCATCATCATCATCAAGATTATCATTATAGCAGGAATAAGAATGATGATAATTAATGATATATAGTATATAATGTGCCATGTATGGCATGTAATATATAACATGGTTTATACATACCTCGATCTAATAAATATCATATTTAATTATTTATTAGTATCTATACAAAACAGTTCTTTCCCCCAATCATGTAGAGCCCAGCAGCTATATGTATATGATATATATGATCCATTATATATAGCCTATGATGTGTAATTCATAGTATATAATGTATAATCTATTGTCTGATGTGCAATCTATAGTATATGATGTCTAATCTATAGTCTATGATGTATAATCTATAGTCTATTACATGTAATCTATAGTCTATTATGCATAATCCATAGTCTATGATGTCTAATCTATAGTATATGATGTGTAATCTATAGAATATGTTGTATAATCTATAGTCTGTTCTGTATAATCTATACTCTATTATGTGTAATCTATAGAATATAATGTCTAATCTATAGTCTGTGGTGTCTAATCTATAGTCTGTTATGTCTAATCTATAGTATTTTATGCGTAATCTATAGTATTTTATGTGTAATCTATAGTCTGTGATGTCTAATCTATAGTCTATGATGTCTAATCTATATTCTATGATGTGTAATCTATAGAATATGATATATAATCTATAGTCTATGATGTCTAATCTATAGTCTATGATGTCTAATCTATAGTATTTTATGTGTAATCTATAGTATATGATGTGTAATCTATAGTCTGTGATGTATAATCTACAGTCTATGATGTTCAATTGTAATATTTAACATATCACATACATATTATATGAAGTATTGTCCTATCTCTTATTTATGTATATGCACAGAACAGTCCTCTCCACCCACATAGCGCCCAGCAGCTACACAGGATGACGTCCCATGTACCAATATAGGAGAAAAAGGATTAATTAATCATTAATTACGTAGAAGATACAAAATGTAACGTGTAAGATGCTGCATGATGCATGACACAGGATATATGAGGTGTAACAGGTGAAATGTGCTTTTTCTCTAGATATTTATTTAGATACGTAAACTGGCGCTCGCCGCCGCTCGTGTAGAGCCCAGCAGCTCCCCAGGCAGAAGGCCCGTGAAGCAGCGCACATACTGAAAATCGATATTTATAACATCTCCATGCCCGATCGCACCGTTTAGGATGGAAAAACGAGGAGCTGCCGGCTTACCAGTATGAGGATGTACTTTTGCCCAAAGCTGTGCATGTAACTTTGGAAACCGGGGAGGTCTCGGAAGTTCACTTTGTCGTAAGTAAAATCTTTCCTGGCTTCCATGTAGTCGATATCCGTGTACTGAACATCCTGGAAGAGAAAGGGACGTCACGTGCCAGGTCTGACCTCGTGGGTTCAGAGGTGAAGCCAGAGGAATGGGCATAGCGTGGAAATAAATACACTGAGCTGGAAAATTGAAAACTTATACTTGAAATTTGAAAACTTGTTTGGGGAAAAAAGAGAGCGACTGAAGTTACGGTCATTCGGCATTTTATGTGGAAACTTCAGCCAACGAAAATGGCTCCAGGGGAAAAGGATACTGCAGCTTTCCAGTATCTGAAGGGGGCTACAAGGGTGCTGGGAGAGGACTGTTTACAAGAGCCTGTAGTGACAGGACAAGGGGTAATGGGTATAAATTGAAATCAGGGAGGTTTAGATTAGATATCAGGAAGAAGTTCTTCGCAGAGAGGGTGGTGAGGCACTGGGACAGGTTGCCCAGAGATGTTGTGGATGCCCCATCCCTGGATGTCTTCAAGGCCAGGCTGGATGAGGCTTGGAGCAACCTGGTCTAGTGGAAGATGTCCCTGCCCATGGCAGGGGGGTTGGAACTAGATGATCTTTAAGGTCCCTTCCAACCCAAACCATTCTATGATTCTATGATTCTATGAAACCCAACGGCATTCTGACTCACGTAAGGGAGGTCGATCGCCCTGTTTCGCCCCACAACAGCCTTCACCTCGTCGAGAGACCCGTAGTCGTAGCGGCTGAGCTGAAAGCCCAGAGACCAATAGGAGGGCAACGCCGGCAGCCCGATGAGCTGGAATTAAACCCAAACCCAGTGAGCCGTCCGCTGCCTTCTCCCTCGGGGAACGGTTCCCTAAATCCTCTGATTCTCTCTCAAATCAGAGACTCAACTCGAGAACGATCAAGTGCATTTTATGGAATTGCGGAGCGGAGCGGAGCGGA